TGTCACTAAAAGAATATTGGATGAAATCGTTTACTAGTTGAATTCATGAGTCAATGTAGGCTAGACCACCCCATTGAAAAATTGGAAGTAATAGATGACCGTTTCATTACAATATCGGACTCCTTAAAATTGTGCGTTCACGATCCCGCATGTAGGATTCGAACCCAGAACCTTAGGTTTCGCGCGCGAACGCCGAACCTGTAGGTCACTGTGCCGTCATCCAACGGTGTTATTGTCTAAATTCCATCGATCTATGAATAGCTGCGCAACCATTCATCCATTGTTTGAGGTAAATACCTGTCTCTACCTGACACAGATTGAACACCACTGGTAACGGCTACCGTCCAGTTCCTCCAGGTCTTCGATCGTAGTCTAGCTTACATCGACTCGTGAATTCAACTATTAAAATTATTATAATCTCCACAAACTCCATTCTGATCAAAATCGTTCAAAACAAAAATTACCTATTTTTTCTGTTGTTGCATTCAGTTGTTTAAACTCCCATTTTCATAATTAATATGAATTCAATAAATTCTCCTAGTCCTTTATTTGCAGTTTTTGTATCTGCATCACGTTATTTCTTATTGTCAAATAGTTGGTTTACTAGTTTCAAACAGTAATGATCTGTTTCACATTGGAGCTATTGAATTACAAAATTCATAAGCAGCTTAATAATAAAGTTCCACTACAGTTAAAGTTCTTTCTGAAAGTTGGTTCTTACTTATTTTCTTTTCAGTTTAGATCATTAACTGATCTTAGCTACGCAACTAGTTAAAACATGAAAGCGCTGAACTTCCGTTTTATTCTAGTATGAAACGGCTTTAAAGTGCGTTTCTACGACCCCTCACTTGGGAATCGGATCCAAGACCTCCGTTCTCGCGAGTAAACGCTTAATTCAATTCGGTAACAACATACAAATTCGTGTACCAGGCTAAGAGATACATTTATGATTTATACACTAGTAATCTTAGTTGTCTACAACATTTATAAACTAACGGGACTCTAGTGCATAACGGATTAAAGGAATAGTCTCTGACTGGTTGTTCCATTTCTAGTAAATTACGAATTCATACTTCCAAAAAGGAAATCAAAAGTTAGCGAAATCAAGAAAATGATAATCATGACTTTTTCAAGAATTTGTGAGCATACTGTTAAAATCTACCTAAACGAAACATTTGATTTTAACGGTGAAACGCGTGTATTCGGTTGATCACTAGAACTATTTATAGTTAATCTCCCTCATTAACTTACCTCAACCAGGGAACTGGTAAAAGTTGGGCGAGGCACGACAACTTTGCCTTATTATGAGTCTTTTCTTAGTGTAAAGCCACAATCCACCAGGCAATAGAACCGAGGGCATACTGACCTTGTGGAAAGTACGATAATAATAGGCTATTAAGTGGGAGTTATTTTCACCTTGATCATTATGTATTATAGAGTGGTACTCACTCAGTAAGTTGTCGTCTGGTTCTCCGCTACTTAATGTAATTTTTTACCACTTTATCTAATTTTTACGGTTTTGAGAACAACCAATATCTCTAACATTACTTCATAATTTCTACTTTTTGTTACCGTACCTGAATGATTGTAACTATCATTATAAAATTCAACATGCAATTAATGGATTTGGAATGACGTTAGTGAGATACAGTCATTTATTACAGTTTTTATTTCTTTGAACAACCACCTAAATATTTATTTCTAATTTGCTAACATTAAATACTAAACTGTAAGAAATGTGAATTGTATTTTAAATACGAATTATAGGGTATCACAAACTCACTGGAGATACTATGTAGTATATGAATAGTATATTTATACCTGGCAACAAATCATTTCCTATAATACCTAGTTACCAGGTTTTTAATTAGATTTCTAATAGTTTCCTATTTTAGTTTATTAGTAAAATTAGCTACTTTCGTGTTACGTCATTACTCTCACATCAATTAATTTATATTGGTAATGAAGATAGAGCATATGAATGAAAAATTCTATATTCAATTCCTTTGTTACTGAATAAACTTTTATTAAGCGTTAGGTATATTCACAATGATAGTATTTAATGTATTATCGTCTTAATTAAAATTACTAAAGTATTTTTTATGATTACCATGCCTGGTTTATTACTTTATTTTGTAATAGAATAAACTGAAAATAGATATAGTTTATAATAAATAATCCGTGCATTTAACTAGTCAAATTAATATATGTTAATCATAATTTTATAAAGTATTTTCCTTTCTTTATACTATTGTTTAAATCTTAACATTTTATTAAGGAGTCTTGTTAAATCAATAAGAGACCACTTATTGGGGTTTTACTTGAATATCTGGGCTATCTATTCTTGCCGTTTAGATATCTCAACAAGTTATCTGTCTTTTATTTGTTTCAACAGATCATTATGTCAATTAACTGCATAACCTATTCAAGTACGTTTATGAAAAGTTCACGAACTTTCACTGTACAAGTTAGGAAAGAGCACAATCAGAGGCATTATGGTTTCTGGCAATATACATCGAAAAGAATGTGCATTATTCAGATGCCGACTTTTCAACCACTAACATTTAATTGACGATCATTTAATATTTATCGTCGGGATCGATCAAGAAATAAGAAATGGAAACTTGTTGAAAATACTTTGTGCTAATAGTTCTATATTGTACCCAAAATATTATATTGAATAAAGATAATAATAATAATAATAAATGTTCGTGAACCGCCAGAGGATTTCTCACTTAATATAAGAACTCAAACAATAAAATTATTTTAGAAATTCAACAAATAATCACTTATTTTCCACCCGAAATGACTTACGTTTCATCCAGATTTCTATAGAATAAGTTTAACTTAAGATCATCAATAGGTTTATTTTTTCGTCTTATAAGTTACTTTTAATAAAAAGAAAACCATATAAACAACCCATTTAAGTTTGAAAATTCGTTTAAACCTCCTTTTTATTTATATTAGTTATAATTCAAGATATAAAATAAACAATTATAATTAATAAACTAATGTCCTTTTACAATTTATCCTTTATATATTGAATTCCCTTTATCCTATATACATACACATACATATTATCCTTGTAAAATTCCTTATATTATAATTCATTTTCTTTAATGATTAAAAGTCAAACAAATGTGTTACATAAGCTAATTTCCTTTTTATTTAAAAAAAAAACGAAGAAAAAGGAAGAAAGAAAAGAAAGAAAAAAAAAGAAAAAATACTGAAAATTATTCACATAATTTACATAATGAATTTACTATTCTTATAATTTCTACAAATATGTATATAATTTTAATAAAGAATTAACTTTATATTAATCTAAATAAAAAAGAATGTCAATCCCTTAAGATTCATTTTATCCACCTGTTTAACAGATTCATTCTAATTGTATAATATAACAACAACAATGAAAAAAGAGAGATTTTTTTCATATGGAAACGCTATTTTTCACAATATTGGAATATTTATTCATTTTCATATGTTTTGCTTAAGGGCATGACAAAATAGAGAATATATATATATATTCAAGATGTAATAGACTATATATGTTAATTTGTAAAAATTCACACGAATCAGTACAAATATGTAATAATGGAATGAATCGGATATTTTAACAGTTGAGATCATGAATCAATTGAAGCTAGATCACCATGGAAATCTTGAAAGTATTGGATGGCTGTTTCGTCTTATTGTTAGACTTTTCAACAGTGTGCATCCATTGTAGTGAACAAGGACACCAGTGGGGACAAATTAAATAACTTGTTAATAAATTCTAACAACCATATAGTAAATGCTCAATTTGTAAAATGTCCATCAATTGTCTCAAAATGACCTACACTTCATTGTTCTTGTATTTTCATGCAAATTGCATTCTGTTTCAATTCTTTACTGTTCGATCCTCTTGTCTCTCTGCCGCCAGACCGTCTGTTCACGACTAATATCATCTACTACTTATGTCAATATAATTAGCACACATCACAACATAACACCGCCTCGCAAGATTCGAATCCAGGATCTATCAATCTCCATGGTGATATAGCTTCAATTGACTCATGATCTCAACTAGTGAGACCACTATAATATCCACAAAAACCCCTTCTGATATTAATTGGATATTTATTTGTAATGATCTACTTATGTATATACTGTTCTATTTATTCTGATATCAATCTGTCTTTGTGGTTAATTATACTTTACAAGAAGTATATATATATAACTGATATGTAGACTCAATGAAAATACTTTTTTTAAACCTTAAATGACTAGTTAGTCCGAATTGATAGAAATTAACTAAATATTTTACCATTTTTATTGTGATAGTTGTTTATGGAGATTATTCGATTTAACAGATTATGTCACGAACTGATCTTACTTAGATAACCATTAAGAACCGGAGAGAACAGACATTGTTTCGTCCTATTGTGGAACACCTCAAAAATATCGTGAAATGATTGAAGTTAAGGATATAACATACTAGGAGCCGGCTCAATAGTTTGAAGGTTAAGCTAACAATGAAAGATCTTAATATCTCTAGTTCAAGCTCTGTTGTGTTCATGAACGTATACTATTGGAAAGTCTCACACTAGGTTGAAACGGGTGTATAGTGCTTACTGACTTTTTAGTGATTGTATAACAAATACTAGTTCATCATTTAGGCAATGATACTTAACTTCCATTTAAAAAAATACATTCTACTCATATGTAATTAAATCGTCAACAAATAAGTTTTTATGAAAATTATAACATACCAACTTATTGTGAATAATTTAAAGTTTATGTAAGGATTATTATTTAATCGATTCCATCAATAATGCAAATACTCTTTACTCAAATATACTAATATGAAACAGAGTACATAGAGAGAGATGTCATATAATTTAAACCAATGAACATATATAAACTTGATTGGTAAAATATCATTGAAATAAAAGTGTAAATTGTTAATTAATTATGAATGGGTTTCTTTTACATTGTCATCAAATGAATATACTAACCTCTTTTACAAAATCCATTTTTCCCACCATTTCCCCCACCAGATAAACGACTAAACGGTTGTTCAGGTATTACTGAAGCAGTTGGTTGATAAATAACATTCTGTGTGCATTCAGGATTAAAACTTGTTGAAAATCTTGCTCCTTGAGAATGTGACATATAATTATTAGATTGATCTAAATTTTGAGTTAAGTTTGTTTGTAGCATAACATTTGTAGGATCATTTAATAAACCTTCTGTTAAGTTTTGAATTTCTGAAGTAATTCCCATATTGAATACATTTTTTAATGAATTTATATCAGGATAATTAAATGTTCTTAAAGCATTTTTCTCCTCTTCATGATTCCTTACTTTATCTTCTGAATTTAATTCATTGGTATTCATTCCACATGATACTGGAGACGAATAGATATTTCTACTAGGATCAGTTGTTGATGTACTACTCATTTGCATTCTGTTAATTTCAGATCCTATTTCAAAATTTCCTTTATTTGATCCTGGAGATAAAAATTGTGATGAATTGTGTGGAGATGATTCGGTAGTATCAATTGATGAAGGAGTTCCACTCTAAAATTGTTTATTAGAATTATTTAAATGGTAAGTGAAACTATAATCTGAATTAAAATATCTAAGATTAAATATGAACAGTTTAGATCATGAGTTAATTGAAGCTAAACCACCATGGAAATCCCGGAAGCACTGGACAGCCGCTTCGTTTTGTTGTGGGACTCGGACTCAGGCCCTACCAGTCGCGCGTATGAGCACTTAACCAATAGACTACTGAGTCAGCATTAATTTTTATGTATTTAACATATCATTTTAGTTCGACAGATAAATGATTTGAAACTTAACTTACTTGTTGATAGTTTGATTCTGTTGTATGATGTGATTGCCCAAAATTTTTTTCTACCATTTCATATTCAGGTATAAGTGAACAGTGATGCATATTTGGACGATTTATGAAAGAAGACTGTGAACTGGTAGCTGAAGTTTCCACGTCATGTATTTCATCATCGATTTTTAAATGTAGTGTTTTGGAATTACCACCACCACCATTATTATTATTATTACTATTATTATTACATCCACTGTGATTATTGTTATTTTGTGTTAAATGATCAACCATTTCAGATAATTTAGAACGTGGAAGAATGTTTACAATCTATAAATATTAAGAATAAAAAAGATTTATTGTATAATCACTAAAATTTTAGCACAACTTATAATCTAAAAAATCGCTAGTGTTTTACTAAGATACGCGGAAGCTTATGGGGTTGGGCAAACCTTATTCAGTGAATAATATCCCAAGTAATCAACCTTAATACAGGGTATCCCACTGTTTAATTTCAAACATAGTGTAGTACTAAGTTTCATCATTCATCCTACTATCCGTATTCCTATCATGTTTTCTAGAATCAGTTAAAATTAAATGACTAAATGCTAATTATTTATAAGTATTCGATAAGTAGATTTAAGAGTATGTAAAATTATTTTCCCGTTCGATCATATTTGTAATTTTAACTTTGGTGTGTGCTATTGATGTCAACAAATATAAGTGGTATGTATCACCAATCGAAAGTGAAATGCCTGGGGGCGGAAGATTAAAAAGATCGAAGAAAAGAAAACGAGAATGGAGAATGATTGATATAGAAATGAAGGAACAATCAAGTCTGAAACAATTGATTGATATTTTGCAAATGGATTATTTACTATATAGTTCTCAGATTTGACATAAAAGTGAGGATTGGCAAAGCAAGGACAACATTCCTACAGTTGTAGTACATATAGAACTCAAAACAACTGTCAACCAATATCAAAGTGAGAATCTTCAATATGAACGTCAAAATAGTTTTATTATATGGAGCTGAAACTTGGAGAACTACTACAACCATCTTCAAAAATGTACACGTATTATAAACAGCTGTCTACTCAAGATTCTCAATGTCCGTTGGTCGGATACCATCAGAGACAGTCTACTGGTCATCCACTGGATACTATGAAGCTGGGTTTTTTTTTAAGAAGTCTTAATCGAAGGGATTTCTCAATTCCTCAAGATATTTAATAACAAGTCGATTAGAATGGAATGTTTTTTTGTTTGTTGAAAAAACATTCATTTCGCAATCTATTGAATAACGCAAAGAAACATATTATTCATATAAATTCATTTGAGATTATTACCTGGTCTGCTATTGTTGCTGTGTTACATGTTTGAATACCACTTTGTATCGAATAATTGAATGGATAATTTGTAAACATATTATTTGTATGATTCATATCAGATGAAGATGATGACAGTGATGATAAATTTTCATTAGTTAATACAGATCCATTCATATAATTTACTGATGAATAATAATTTGGATTTGTGGTAAAGTATGAAGAAAATGGAAAATTCGATGCGTTTGTATGTAATCTTGACTGTTGTTGTTGTTGATTGTGATGATGATGTTGAGAAGTGTGTAAATGTTGGTTAAATATATTTGAATCATGACACAAATTCGGATGATAAAAATTACCAGAATAATTATTTGAACCATTTATAAATGATGTGTTTTGTCCACTATTATGATAGAAATTTGTTCCTAAACTATTAGTTGCTGTCTCCGTTGTTGTCGTTATCATCATCATTGGTGTAGTTATAGATGGATAGTACGGTGGAGGAAAATATGGCGGCTGATAATCTGAATGTAGACCACCGGTAGAACCACTTCCACCGGTTAATGAATTATCCGTATCCGAATTTGTCTCATTATCAGTAATACAGATACCTGTTGAAAACTGATCCTAAATTATAAATAATTATAAGCGATTATTTTACTGTTTAAGTAAGAAGTGACATGTTAATCAAATTCAGTTGATGAGTATAAATATGAATGATATAAATATATGATACAAATATACAAGCATTTTTAGTTTTTGTACAAATGATAACTTTCTAAGATACATGAAGGCATTATAGTAAATATATCTCTACTATTGCTGATAGTTTAAATTTACAGTAAGAAATATCCACGTTTAGATTTTAATAAGGTCCCTTTTATTAAAAACAATGAAGAGACAATTTCAATATGCCTACTGTCTGTAACTTGTGGAAAAAGTACATCAATTACCGTAATTTCATTGCCAATCTAACAGTCATCTTAAATCGATCACATCAGAGATGAATAATGAATCAATAATATTAAATTTGAAAGCTGATTTATTATATGATTCTTAATAAGATAAACCAATAAATGTAAAACACATGAACAACGAACACTATTTCAGTGATCTATGTCAATCGAGTTCACAATGAAGATGAGAAATAGAAAAGTATTGTATAAAAAGCTTGAGTAAATATGAAAACTTAGCTCTTTTAACATTACCTAAGATTCGTGGTTCAATTAGTAAGATCTACTGTTAATAATCGGTCGGTACTATTGAATGAAACTTTGCTCTTCTAGGATTAATGCCGGTCCCAAGCGTGGGTAAAGGGGGAAGTTTGGGCATAGGGTCAGCAACACCATCCCGTAGAAAACAACCTTGCTAAAAAACGATAATCAGAAAACATTATTTAAACCACTTAAACTTTCTTCTGGGAGTTGAGGCATCTTCATTTAGAAGTATTATGACGCCTCATGGTGAAAGCCGAGATTCTTCGGAAACCACGAGGTCGATAATCTTTCTAACAACCAAAGCAAGACGGAATTTCCGGACATTGTGGGAGATCGGGAATAACTGATCATTGAATCAGTAATTTCATCCCTATTCAACAACAAGTCTAATAATCAGTTGTTTATTAATATGAAATATTTTATAATATTTCAGCTTAGAACTACTATAATAATGTATATGTCTACTAAGTAAGGATTTGTCAGTTTTTATACTTTATTTAAGATTGAATTAAAATCATGAATACACGTTACTCAAAGCACATCCAAGCAAAACAGTTTCAGATTAGTTTATTTAATTAACTATAAAAAAGGAAGATGCATAATTTGCCTTGTTTTAACTAAAGCCAACTTGATATTGATTATAGAACATGAAAAAGAAACTCAACCACAGTCTAAACACAGATTTAGAACAAATAAGTAAAGTCTACAAGTATTTGTTTCACTACAAGCTAGAAGAACCATTAATAAAATTACAAACTACAGTACAAAATGTTTTATTAGTTAGAACACTTAATAAAGTGAGTTTTACGCTTTTGAATACAGATACAACTACTTATGTCAGTTAAATAACCAGTGTAATTTACCTGTATAATTGAAGACATGTATTAATCAGTTTGTAAACTAAAATCTCGGTAGGTATTGCTTGCAGCTATTTTAGATCCTGAACCCCAGAGGCAATGTAAATTATGGAAGCTTCTTCTAGTCAGTTGTTAGTACCAGGCTATTCCTCGTAGATCTCAAAGAATGGCCGAGGGCAGTTAAACAGCTTGTATATAATAAGTTTATATTTAAATCAATAAAGCCAACAACAAGTTTTTACATAAATACAAATACTTTTGCCTAAAATTAGAAACATTTGATAGGTTCTTATGAAAGAACAATTCCGAGGCAGATAATAATGCCCATAGGGGGTGGGAATTTTCTCAACTCATTTAATACCTTAGACTACACCACTTGTATTTATTGTTTCTCTGCCCTCAGGCTTGTTGTGAGTCTGATTTTACTGAGGGAAATTTGTAATCTAAAGCTTTAGGTTAGAAAAGAGGGAAGTAAAAATGATACGATGAAAATAAAATTGTCTCCATACTCCACCACTAATTTAACATATCATAGTGGAAAGAAAATTATAGGATACTAATGGCCGCAGGATAAATGGGAAATCTACATTTTTATTCGTTGATTTATGTAGGGGTTAGGTACAGCCAAGGTCGTGTAGCGAACCAATTAGAAAGCGTATAAAATCATACATCAGTAAGTCAAATAAGAAGTAACAATGTTCAGTATGATAGGGATTCAATAAATATTAGAACCGGTTTTTGTGACAGTACGACTTTTGATTCGATACGATTCACTAAATAATATTAAGTACAAAAAAACAATGTTCGAAAATTCTACACCCCTTGATCTGTGTAGTTCAAAAGTTTAAAAATGATACTAGACAAATAGTTTGTACTAATTTCTCCTTTGATTTCCTGTACTGTTAATCGTTATCGGTCACTTTTAGCAAATACACAGAAAAATTGTTTATATTGACTTGATTTGCATTTCTACTTCTAAATTTCTGTATTCACTACGTAGAGTGAGATATTAAATTTCGTGTATAATTTTTTCTTCACAGGAATATAAATAACTTAGTTTTAAAAATGGCAAATTGATTTCTATACACAGAATATCATTGAAGGCTGTTATTCATTTCACTTTAAGGTGTTTTCGCTTCATTTTATCAGAATAAGATGTTATAGGACTTATGTTTTTCCTAGTGGTGGGATTTGTCAGTTGATTTAGGATGCTACCTCGCATGGAAATACAGAATCCTACGTGTTGGTAAGTCTGACATTGACCGTGACAGACTTGAAAGATCAGTTACGCATAGAAGAAACGTGAACAGACCTAGAACTGCAGCTTGGAGAACTTTGATATGCATATTTTTTTGGTCAGAAATCTGTAAGCTAATAGGTGCTGGTTACTAACTTCCGATATGACCATTATTCTACAAGTTTATATGATAATACATAAACGACAGATTATGGGATATCCATCCTGCTTATATTCCAGCTAGGAAAACGAATATTCAACTAATAAGAAGAGTGTTTCTATTGTACTTGTTTGATACATAGTTAGAGGCTAATTCGGGACTGTTGAAGATGTCTCTCAACAATGATGATGCATGATCATCTCTATACAGTGTTGGAACTCTGTACCTCCGTCTTATTTACTGATTTTGTTTGAAAATGGACATTTTAAGCATTCTGTAGCGTCATTTTTGTGTCTTGTTTTATGCTCTACTGAACTTTTATAATGCGAGATTTCACATTCTTTTTTATTTGTGAGTAATAGAATCTAGAATTGATAGTTGTTAAGTAATTAACCTCCTACGTTTTTCATGTTTCGAAGGAGGTTTCTAAATCTTCGAGACTCATATTATGTATTATCATCATAAGGTAATACAAGTTTATGTTTAAAAGATTGTCATTGATCAATATAATCAAGATATATGAGAGAATATCCCAAGGTTTTATTTATTATTACACTTAAAATTCTAATGAATAAACTATTATGGATTTACTTGGTATTGTTTGTTTTTAATCACCCCATTGTTGTTTAGAGCTACAATTGATCAGTCTGTTATTGGCATATGTACATCCGGTGCCTATTGCCTCGATACTGCCTTAAGTTGCAAGCTGTATAAGCAAAGATAGATAGTGGCTAGCAGTGGAATGCAGGACACGGACAGTGTGCACATATGCCAATAAGAGATTGATCAATTTCAGTCCTAAACATCAATGGGAAGATCCAAACAAACAATACCAAGTGAGTTTAAACTCCATCCCATTGCACAAGCAAGTGGCTATCAGGACTCGGTAGCTCAGTGGATAACGCGATAGCGTTTGAAACGAACGGTATTGAGTTCAAGTCCCAGAGTGAACATCAACTCTGAGATGCTGGTACATACGATTGACGAGTCCAAAATAGGATGAAACGCGCGTCCTGGATTCCACTGTTAACCACTATCCATCTTTCTATATTATGAATTGCCAATTGATCATTATTATGTATAGATTTAGTAGGAGTAAACATAAACGTTATTGAACCATAAAATGAAGATAGAAAAATAAGAAATAGTCTGTGTTAAGTCATAAATTATCAAACACTGAAAATCATTACATTTTATCTAAAACGCTATGGTTTTCTAAAATATAACCTAAAATCTTATTCTACATCAATGTGTAATATTGATCACTATTAGATGGGCAAACAGTACCTATGAAATTCAATGATTGTTGAGAAATTTTATTTAGGCTAAATTAAATAATTGGTGAATAAAGGAAGTATATATGACAGAGTCTAGATCATTAATGAATATAAATTAACTAATTGAGTTCATTGGTAGTAATAAATTTACTTTTATGTAGCTCCCATCATTTCTTTTAATGTTTTTTTTTTCATTTATTTAGGACTTAAGCACTTTTATCCACCTCTTATGTTCTTATAATATTTGGCTACTTGAACTTGGGAACCATTATCTCATGTTAAATCACACAGTTGGTAGAGATTTTGATGTCATATCCATAGCCACAAAGTGATGTACAAAAAAATTGTCGTTAATATGCTATTTCAGTTTGGTAAATATGGACAAACTGAATAATCGGTGTGAATAAAACTGATGATTTGTGTTAGTTTTATTGTTCAATAATATGTTCTGAGAACGAACTATTAATTTTAAACAAAATGCCTCAGTAATGTTACTTGATGGAAACTGTATAAAACTGGAGGATATTGAGTTGTAATTTAGTTTCACTTTGTGATTTTACGCATAGCTATGAATAAACAAAGACAAAAGCTTTATAATCATTATTTCTGTAAATCGTGAATGAATCACTAAGTTAGAGCTAAACTATATATATTTCCCAATTTCAATCAAATATACTAATCCCCTAGTTAATTGATCTATCAGGTAACTGCATCCTATTAAATTTTATAATCATTCATTTTGAATTATGGTACCATCAATAAGTGAATAACAATTTAATCATATAGTTTGTAGTGAATGAATGAGCCCAGTGTTGATAGATACAATAAATTTTTAATTGAGATCTTGAATTTTATCCGGGTCAGAAATGAGACGAGTTTCGTTGATCGTATAGCTAATAATGACAATATATCTCGAAATAACTAAATCTAGGAGCAAAGATTGTTAGATTCTATTTAGTACCTAATTGGTAGTATATTCTTGAGTTCAATTATCAATAGGGTTTTAAGTGTATAATGCTGAATAAGTCCTATACTATAGCAAGACAGCTGTTTAATACTCCTTATTTTCCAAAAAACGATCTCATAGATTATTATTTCGTAATAAAAACAAAATTTTTGAAGATTTTCATAAAACAATTTTCGATTTTTACTTTATTGTAAAGATGACAACTAAAGAAATAATAATAATTCAATCATTAGAAAAATAAGATATTCTTCTTTATTCATTTAAGTCATTTGTGTAGCAACTTACTAGTCTAATGAATGAATAGTTGAATGACTTTATGTTAAAAAAAAATTAAGAGTTAGCTCAAATTTCACAGCAAATACGACCATATGGAATGGTAAAAAAAAAGAAGCTAATCGAACTGAAATATGGTAGGAATCAATTAAAAACTTTGGGATATACTAAGATGAATTGAAATTATTTCAACAATGTATTAAGTTCAGTATTCATGTTACACAATAATAAAAGTGAATGAATTAGAAAGGAAGCATCTAACTTTTATTGTAACTTCCTTCTTTTTTCTATTCTTCTAATAAAATTTTCATTTCTTTCTCCATCACCCTAATGATATCTAATTCCTCCATTGTTCTCTTTTCTGTGTTACCAAGTTGAATTAATTTGGAATATGATGATATATTCATATAACAATGTGTATATATATCCATAGAATTTTGAGTGAAATTATTATTACTATTATTATTATTACCATTACCACAACAATGATTTGGTTGCCAAGGTTTCATTTTCCAAATAAATTTGACTTTTTAAGGATCATTTTGGGAATTCTTTCGATTGCTTTTACAAAGTTTTTTTTTAACATATGAACTGTTAAATAAACAGAGAAGTTTGTCAAATAATATGAAAGATAGTTAAGTATTATTTTATTTAAGAAAACAAATAGAGTGTTTAGAAAACAAAATCGAATATAAAGAAATTTGTCCTTAAAATGATTAATGAATCGCTTTTTTCTCTTCTTAATGAACAGTCAAGAGAGCTCAGTGATTAATTAAAACATTTAATTTTCTTTTAAAGAATTCTAATCTATTCTGTATAGTATAATTCATTTTATAATTAACTTTGTTATAATAGATGTAGTTATTCCAATGAATTCGTCTCTCTTTTATTTTTTTACGAAGGATAAACAATGATGAATATATCCCATTTAACACATCTAGTAACTAAGATCACACTAATTTGTAAGCCTTGTATAATAGTGTATGAGTACATTTATAATCAATCAGAACTAATGTACCTAAATCTAGAAGCTTCATTGCAATACTTGTACAGTTGGAAAATAGATGGTGCAAATGTTTTGGTAGGCATGCGTATATATATATATATATATATATATATATATATATATATATATATATATATATATAGTTGATTTATTAAGCTTATTCATTCTATTGCCGCTCAAAGTAAAGTATAGAACTTTAGAATTTATATTCTACTGGTCTTTATATAACCTCAATATCTGGATTCTTCATGAGAGAAGATTATTAAAATTCCTTGAGAAAATTTCTGTTCAGCATCTGCTATTTATCAACCACCCCAGAAGAATGACCTTACACAATGCAACATCGATAGTCATTACTATAGAATTGTTTTGCAGTCACAAGTGGTCACCATTATAGGCTAGTACATTGAGTTATAACAATTTATCTAAATAAAATCCCGCAACCCACACACAAATAGTTTGTGTATTGCATTTATTGTTTTTTTTTAATTTTACAGTTTTTTTAATGATCAAATCTCTTTAATGAAAACTTAAGTGGTTGGATTGTAGTTAAGGCTAGAATTCAGAATATAATATTCTTCTCATTTTTAACTCGTCTGTTCGATATCCCTCGGTTTTAGCTTTGATGTCCATACTGAAACTAGAACTCAGTGCTTTTCGTTTTAAATACCGAAGGGCTATCTAGTGTACTTCTGAATCTGAATGATCACTAACCTATAAAGTGGGTATAATGGCATTAATGAGTGTTCGTAATTTCACGTGGTTAATATTTAGGATCGTAATTCACCATATGTAAATCTTAAGTGAATTATCTCTATTGATTTTGGAAATTACGAGCAGTTACTAATACATTCACGCCTGTTGAATAGGTCAGTGGTCATCCGATCCTAAAGACTTAACGGATAGTGCGTTGCTTTCAGAAAGTTAGGTACTGGGTTCAAGTCTCATTATAAACATCAACATTAGTGTAACGTAAATGCAGCTAATGAGCTCAAAGTGGGTCAAAATCCAAGTCATATATTTCATTGATATCCACATAACAAACAGACTAGTATACACTTATTCGTCATGCATAATTTGTAATTTATTGATTAAAGCTAGACCATTATGGATGACTGTTTCGTCCAGTGGTTCTAGATTTTCCATGGCAACCTAGTTTTAATCAGTTCATGAATTTAATTATGAAAAATTATTTAAATAAGTTTAGAAATGAGATAAATAGTTTAAATTCTGCATAATACATTTTTAGTGGAATTACATAACTTTTGTTTAAAAAGTAAACAACTACTTAAACACTATCATTGTAGATATTGGCATTGTAATATTATTATAACCAATAATATGTGTGTTAATTACTATTAGAATATATGGTTATATATATGTCACCAACGGGGTAAATGCCCAAGGGTATATTAGCATCCATACGGCTCCCTGCTTAGTTTTTAATTTCATGTTAAATAATTAACCTTATTATTATTATCATTATTATTACTAACAAAGTAGAATTACTTATATTCATTGTGTGCTTCTCTTATCCTTATCATTGTTTAATTGTTTCTTATTCAAACCTTTCATTAATTTTTATTGTCTACTTTTGTTTTCGGTTATTTTTTTGTTGTTTGATATAATCTTACATTGGAAATCAAATTATAAATTGACGCATAATTATTACTCATACAAGTAGACTAGAGAATACTGATATTTGAAACATCAATGACCCATGGGTTATTCAATGATTCTTTGCAACAAGTTAGTCGATTACAGAATTAATAATAATAATAAAATTAAATAAATAATTCACAAATCTCTTCAACTTTGAGTATCACTTAATTTCGGTCTAACATACAAATATTGGTTTTTCATATAAAAATATACCACTATTAATTAATAAGAAAGAAGATAATAGCCTGTTACTCCCAGTGGAGCATGGGCCGCCGACCAGTGCTATCCAATTTTTGTTCATTCTCCTCATGTCTGTCTCCATTTCTCGGCGTAATGTGTTCTTTGGTCATTCTCTTCTCCTTTGGCCTTGAGGATTCCATATGAGGGCTTGTCTTGTGGTGCAGTTGGGTGCTTTCCTAAATGAGTGTCCTATCCACTTCCAAAGCTCCTTTCTGACTTCTTCCTCCGCTGGAATCTGATTTGTTCTCTCCCATAATAGGTTGTTGCTGATAGTATCTGGCCAACGGATCCGAAGTTTTTTGCGTAGACAGCTGTTAAAGATGGTAATTGTAATAATATTAATAAATTTCAAGGCAGTTACCATATTCACTTATCAAAAAATACAATTAGAATATTTAATCAACGAATTAGTGGATCCTATTTTTAAAAAAACATCAATGAAATGCTTCTATAGTTGTACTATATTAATTTGTATTCACAACAACTTATAACCAAATGCATTTTTGTAAGTATTTCTAATCTCATTTGTAATTTCAACATTAAAATATTACAGGTTGTAAACACTTTACAAGAAGTTGACTAAATTCGGGTTACTCTACTGAATCTTTATTCAAGAGACTTATACCTATGAAATAAGTAGTATCTTTTCAATCATTGTTATTTAGAATGATATTTTAAGTGAATACTGATGTAAACTGATGTTACATTTTACGTATAGAATTCCATTACATAATATGGCTTGTGCTCATCAATTCTCTTGTAAATTTCAAAGCTTTCAACTTTTGTTTCAAAGATGTTTTATGATAAAATATACTAATTAGCTTATTAACTATAATATTCATATTTAAAATGTTGTAAATAGAAATATGTCTTATAATGTGAAATAAGTCTTCACAGAATATGCTATTTTTTCCATTTATAATGAAAGAATTCAAATAATTCATTATCAACTATGAATTACTCTAAGTAATTTCTGTATTGTGTCAATACAATTAACCAATAGAATTGTATTATCCAGCCAACTTAATACAGAATAAAATTATGGTATGTCCTTATATAAATGCTCTGATATGGCCGATGTTGGGGAGAGTCCACTCTGTCTCTCGAATTACTCTCACATGGCCAAGCGTATACAGCCACTGACACGGAAGTCCTACTCATTGCCTTCAGAGAACGAGAAGAGAATGGGTTGGTGGATACGAATGGTTCACCTAGAAGAGTTGGAAAACCCTGATTCAAAACCAATGGTGCACATGGGCTCTATGATCTAGTTAGTATTGTTCAACTGATCAGATTTCAATAGTCTAAGCTATTCATTTCTCCACTGTATATATCTTTGAATATAATCTGAATAATTTTTAAAAGTAAATTCGAAAAAAACTCGTTTTATGTTGTTTAAATACGTATAATCTGACTGATGAAACCTCGTTCATAATACAATGGGTAGCGTAGATACAAAAAATAAGTAAATGAATACAAATCAGTTAAGTAAGTGATACTTATAAGAATTATTTTATTTCAGACACTCAATTAATTCCATGCTGGTATAATAATTTAAGTATGACTCAGACTTTATAAATTTAATTTGTTCTTTTAAATAGTCTATAGTAAATAATACTTTGGAAAGAAATACTGGTGAATGGATTAAATCACTATCATTGCTGATCTCTTAGCTATCGTTATAATTAGTTCACACGCAACCCATAAATCTAGAACACCTTTTGTTGCTGACATCACCTACTATAAGTAAAGATTATTTTTTAAAAATTATTACTAAGGTAAAAAAAGAAAAAACTTTTTTTTTACTGACTAATATAATTGCTAAAAGTAGAGTAACATTACTCGGTTGCCTTTTCATTTATACTCGTACCCAATTTCTTTTTTTTTCTTGTATAGATTTCATGATCACACAAGTATATCTTTTGGATCATAAGGTGTTATTATAATCCATAGTAAGCACGTGCTATCAGTATAAACATTATTTATACAAATAATACACGCAAGTAAATTAGCCATCTCTGGTTTCTGATCACATTCACTTCCTATTTCAAAAAAAAAAGATTCTTACGCTTAAATGAATTCATTGCCATCATTTCATGTATTAAGTAAGAACATGTACAATTCTTTATGAACATATGATCATGTGTATTATGTGATATGCCTTTAGGGTAAGATAAAATATAATAATTGAATACTGTAATATAAGTTATAACATTTTACAGTTCAATGAAAGCCCGCATTATTTATGTTTATTTAGGATCTGAAAATTATTTCTTTTTTTGTGATGGTTTTCAGTTAATGTTACAAATAAATTTGTTACCTTTTTTATTCTGTTAATTGTATTTATGTACAAGTATATTTCATCTATTTTTGTCCTATAAAATCCTTTAATAAATTGTTTAGAAATAAATTCTGCCATACAGCATACAATGGTTATGTAATAAGAAAGTATATGTCAATTTTAATCATTTATTTAGTATCAGAAGGGGTATTGTGGATATTATAGTAATTTTAATAGTTGAAATCATGAGTCAATTGAAACTAGACCACCATGAAAAACCTAGTTTCAAGAGGTATTTCCTGGAGTTCTAGCGAGAATCA